ATTTAATGTATATCGTCGGGATGTTGAGATAATTAAATGGCTGCAGCATGAAGGTTTGAATATACAAATGTTTTCTGAGTATATTCTTGTATCTATGTATATCTGTATAACTAATAACATGGTTATCTATGTATATCTGTATATCTCTATAACTATGACTAAAACTAAAACTATTCCTATGAATAACATGGGTATCTATGTATAACTATATAACTATGACTAGAACTAAATCTATTCCTATAAATAACATGGGTATCTATTTATATCTATACAACTATGACTAGAACTAAATCTATTCCTATGAATAATGTGGTTATATTTCTGCATTTATATTATAAGTCGAATTAGGCAGCTACTCATTAACAGATAATCTGAATATAACGAATTATTAAATAAGTTATTGATCACTAATAAACGAGTGAAAGAAACTAGTATGGCTGAGATCCATCGATTAAAAAAGACGTTGAAACCGAAAAAGTCGACAGGTTTTGATTTGGTATCGAATTTCATGATTAAAAAACTTCCTCTGGATTATATTGACTGCCTGGCAAAATGTTTCAATGTATGGTTGAGTGAAGGTAGATATCCTGAGGAGTGGAAACTAGCAAAGATAATAACCCTAAACAAACTGAAATCAGGAGTTTCGAAATGTGATCAAACACGTCCAATTTCCTTGTTAGCAACACATTCAAAACTTTTTGAAAAAGTGCTGCTTCAAAGAATTAGACATTGGTGCGAAAGTAATCATTTAGTATCTATAGAACAATCAGGATTCCGTCCAAAATGTCTCCCTCCCACTCGAGTACTATCGATCTATCAGGAAGTGAAAAATAATATGGCAGCTAATCTACCAACACTTGCTATCTATGTCGACTATCAGAAGGCATACGATCGTGTCTGGCATGCCGCCCTCTTCATTAAATTGTGGAATTTGGGTATGTCGCTAGACCTACTGAAAATAATCGTTAGCTGGTTAAAAGGTAGAAGAGCGTATATAGCTTTTGGCGACAAAACATCGAAAATATTCGATATACATATAGGACTTCCTCAACGTAGTAGTCTCAGTCCATACTTGTTTATTGTGTTCCACTGCGATCTAATAAACTGTCTAGGGGCTTATTCAGGTCATCTTTTCGCAGATGATCTTGGTATTCCTATTACACCACCTATTATAAAGAAATTAAATCCGATGATCCAACATCTTGAAAAAGAAGGTACGGGAATTTGTGATCAAGTATATGTGTATTCAAAAAAATGGGAACAACCAATAAATATATCGAAAACAGTAGCGCAGGTGTTTTATTCACAAGTGACAAGACCAGTAGTAAATATAACAATGAATGGAGAAAAAATTGAATTAGTTAAAGAATTTAAGTATTTGGGATTCACTTGGACTGATAAACTATCCTTGAGACCCACAGTCGAAAAATGCATTGGCAATATCCAGAAATCCTTAGGTAAACTAAGATGGTTAAAAGCCGGACGAAGTATGTCGTCTGAAGTGCTTCGTCAATGCTTTTTTGCATTTACCCTTCTACATTTTGCATGGTTATTTCCCTTTTATCCTCTGTTTCCAGAAACATAGCAACAAATATTGCAACAAAAATTTCGTGTAGGTCTTCGGCTAGTGTATCGCTATCCCTTCGTATCTGCAGATAACCTTTATACTATTACTTCAGAATATCCTTTGGAGTTCAATGTTAAAAAATATATTCAAATAAGATAGAGGACAATGCTTTTGACTGACCTTGGATCCTCACTTTTCTATAATGATATCTTCGTTTGGGATGAATTCTACAAAAGAAAAAACGATCACCTCGGTCATTTTTTTTGTACGCGTCATGTACGTCAATCGTTAGATCGACACGAGTCATTTCTTTTAAGATAGTTGTTTTTTGTTGAAACGAATTAATACAAAGAACGAGCACATGCAATGTCTTAATCTTTTTTTTTTCTCTACTGCTCTGTTTCTTCACTTTCCCATATTCTTTCCTTTCCTTTCTTTTTTCCTTCTTCATATATTTTTTTTTCTTCTCTCTTTTCTCTCTTTAACCTCTTTTATGTACCCTTTAATATCCTTACAAGCATGATCTAATATTCGTCACAAGTATATGGATAGCAAACAGTGAAACGCTTTGCACTAATGATGCTGCTTTTGGCTTAAAGTTCTCAATTTTCTTTTTCCATTATCATGTAAGCACTTCCGAGTGTTACATTCCCTAGCACAATAAAAAAAAATTGTTTCTGATTACATCACAAATGTAATATTTTATTGTTAGTAACGACCATAAGATAATCATGTTGTTGTTGAAACATTTAACGGGAAGCGAGTTTATTGGCTTTTTTCTTGTTATCACTTTTCATATGATGACATTTACCAGTAATACAATTTGAAAATTCTGTAGGGGTGAACACATCAGTAGGACAAACAGTTTTGACGTAAGCTAAAATAGATGAGATAATGTATAAAAAGCTTTCATATATACATAAAATAAGTGCTCTTCTACTAATATTACATTGATATCAAATAAAAGTTATCTATACTAGTAGATATTAAAAACAAAATTTTCGCTTATGATTTTCACCTGAAATAGTATCAATCAAATCTTTATTACGAGTTCGAAGTGATGTATAATTTTCATATTGCAAATCTATATTCTTGAAACAAGCTTGTATTAAATTGATAACAATTCTTCTCCATGGTAATCGTCCATTACCAGTTGCTTCTAATAATTCAAAATTAGTAAGACCTAACAGTTGTGCATACTAAATCGAAAAATGAGAAATTGACAATAAGAAATGCCAATATCGTATTAAAATTAACTCACATTAATTGCTCTTGTTTTTGTTAATTCACTATGCATATCAACAACAGCCGACACACGGCGCAAATAATCACTTTTTTCAGTTGTTGGAAGTGCTAAAATTAGTAAAAATATCTTTACTGAACCAAATTAATTAACAAAAAATAACTTACGAATGGATGTATGTTTCAATTCTTTCAATTGATTTTCCAGATCAAGAACTCGTTTTCTATAACTCTTTAATTCAAGTTGAATATGATGAGGTAAAATTAATTCATCATACGATTCTATATTATCATTAGAAACAGTGTCATTTTCTTTTCGATCAACTCCTGTTAATTTTGTTCGTTGTTGAGATTGATTCAAATCAGCGGAACATTTCGACGACATATTATTGTCAAAGGAATAGTTATTAGAAAGGTCTACAACGATTGAAGATTTCGTAGTTGAAACGGATGATTCAGGTTCATCATTGGTATTATTTTCGTTAGGTTGTCGTTTCTGATTATCAAATGCATTTTGTTGATTGTTTTGTGTTGTTTTATCAATTTGAGTTGATTTCTTAACAATCGCAATTGACGCATTTGTTTTCATTTGCTTTCCAGTAAACTCAGGTTCTTTTGATTCATTTTTTCGCTTTTTTTGTTCAAATATTGTACATCTCATTACTTTGTTATTGGCATTGGATTCGGAGACAATAGTAGGCAACCATGTTGACTTATCAACTGTTAAAGAAGTATCACCCCCACAATATTCTTCACATTCCTCGAATGTTTCTATTAATAGTCGTCACGAAGAATATGATATAATATACAAGTAAATATATGATTTTATATAATCTTACCTTTAAACAGGAGTTTACCTCGAAGACGTCGATGTCTATCATTTTTATCAACAAATAAATAATCAACATTTATTTTCATTTTCATATTTTTTGCTGAGTGTATGCAGCTTGGTGGAACAAAACTTACTTCACTTCCACCAAATTTAACTACACATACCGAATCCATTGCTTATAATCTGGAAATAATAAATAGGTTACTATCAATGTTAGATATCAGTTTTTATAAGATAAAAAAGCTAAGCGTAGGATGAACATCGTCATATAGCTATTCTTATTGTATCTAGCATGCCAAACAGGTGGCTGCTGCATAGCCATGTATATATAAAATAATAACCTTTTAAACTCAAGGAACAATCCAGAATTTGATTGCTATTCATTCTAATGGTAAAGTCACACTATAAAACCTTTTTTATATAAAATTTACTTTTAATTTAAATAGATTATTGCTCATTCTATATAATTATTGTTCATTCCATATAATTATTGCTAAATTTCATTATTACTCATTTAAATTATTTTATTTCTTAATTAAATATAAGTCTTCGTAAATTGTCATGTTTCTTACTCATATTGGGCTATATGACCTTAGTAAATAAATGAGATACAATATTTTTGATATAGGTCATTTTGTTAAACTTTTCATATTCTATCCTTTTGATATATTACATGAAAAAATTCTCTAATTTGTTGAAGTATAATTCTAGTAGACTTTTATGAAACAATTTATCACTATTTTTCTGAATAGTAGATAGGCTGTGCTAAAAAGTTGATCTAGGCGAACTTTACTATAGTATATTCAAATAGACTGAATATTTTGGTTTGATGATTTTAATTGATAGCCCTTCAAATACATATAAAAAATGAAAAAATAAATTTTGGTCAGTGTCCCGTATACTGGGGTGATACTTGGTTCTTTCATGGGCTGTCTCTTAAATATCCACTACAAAATCTCATCAAGAAATATCTAATAAGTTAAAATAATATTTCATCATACGACATACAAACTCACCATTGCATACACATTTTCCGATATTAACAATCACATGCATCAAGTTATGGTGAATCATACGAAATTTAACGCTCTTTTATCACTAATATTCTCTCTGTGCACTCAACTAACCTTCACACGTTTACTTATCAATACACATTGATTGATACGACCAAAGTAATAATGTGATCGATGATGCATACCGAATGACGCACACGATATTTCGTCTTATTTATATATAAAAAGACACCCATCTGACGTCTACATCATATGCCTTTTAATTGTAAATAAAAAGAAAACGATCATATTTCTCTTCTAAACGAATAATTCTCGTTAACGCTCAACTACGATCACAAGCTGCAATATGGATCTAAATAAAAAATCTCCGAAGACAGATAAAAACAAGACAACTACAGATGCATCATCAAAAAATGGAAAACATGATGAAAAAAATGGAAAACATGATGAAAAACATGGAAAGAATGATGAAAAACATGGAAAACATGATGAAAAAGACAACGAAAATATTTTATCTAGAGCGGTTCATAAAATTGGAGACAAAGTACATAACTTTACTGATGAGGTTAAAGAAAAAGCACATAATTTAACTCATAGTGATGATTCAAAAAAAGATAAAGGTGATAAAAAAGGAAGTACTAAATTAAAAACATCGTCAAAAATTAGTAAGAAAGAATCTGATGATGAAAAAGAAGAAGACACATCACAACCACCACCACCACCATCTTCATCTTCTTCAGGTAACTACATGATTAGAAAAAAATTCTTAACGAAAAAATATTCATTTTTTTTAAAGACACCAAGAAAGACACAGCATCATCTGCCTCCTCCAGCAGTAAACTTTCGACAGTTGAATTACGTTTCTTTAAAATTATTTTTATTTCTAGAACCTCCGTCTGATGATAAAGAAGGTAATGCTGCTGCTCCGTCTTCTTCAAGTGAGCCATTCAATCTTTTAATCTATACCGATAAATCTTTTTTTTTTTAAGAACCGCCTGGTTTACCATCTCAATCTGGCAAGAAAGAAGATTCTGCAGCTGCATCTTCATCATCGAGTATGATTCTTATCTGATCAATCTGTAGAAAAACATTGTTTTTTTAGAACCAGCTAATTCTGATCCAGCTGGTAAAGCTACAGAACCACCATCAGATGGTGACTCTAAACCTTCTGGTGAAAAGAAAGATGGTGATATTGCTGCTCCTTCTTCACGTATGACATTTAATTGATTAGTTTCAATCACAAAATCTCTCTTTTAGAAACAACTGGTAGTAGTTCGGCTAGTAAAACTACAGAACCACCATCGGGTGGTGATTCTAAATCATCTGGTGAAAAGAAAGATGGTGATGTTGCTGCTCCTTCCTCACGTATGACATTTAATTGATTAGTTTCAATCACAAAATCTCTCTTTTAGAAACAACTGGTAGTAGTTCGGCTAATAAAACTACAGAACCACCGTCGGGTGGTGATTCTAAACCATCTGGTGAAAAGAAAGATGGTGATGTTGCTGCTCCTTCTTCACGTATGACATTTAATTGATTAGTTTCAATCACAAAATCTCTCTTTTAGAAGCAACTGGTAGTAGTTCGGCTAGTAAAGTTTCTGGTACACCTGGTGGTAATCAGAAAGCTGCTGAAACTTCTTCTAGTACGTTACTTGTATGATTAATCTATTTTGAAGATGTTTTTTTTAGAACCAGCTAGCAACGAAGACAAGAATACAAAATCTGCGGATCCATCAATGAATAATGATTCGAAACAGTCAGCTAACAAACCAACTAGTGCTTCGAATGATGCTGACACATCTAATAAACCATCAGCAGAAGAAAATCCAGATGACAAAGTTCATATTTTGTTTGATGGTTCGAAGATTTATTGCTTATTTTAATCTTATTATTTTTCCCATTTTGTTATATTTCAGGTGTGCAAACTGTCGATGATTTACTTGAACGAATAGATGAAGCTATGGAAAAGGCAAAAATAGTTATGACTGAAGGCAAAAACAAAAAAGTTTCTGATAAAAAGGAAGAACAAAATGTCTCTGATAAAAAAGAAGGACAAAATGTCTCGGATTCGACTGCCACTGATACCAAGAAAAAACCTGAAATGAAGGCTGCAGAGGAAGAAGAACCAATTCGTATTGTATATGACAATGTACATCAATTAAAAGATATTTTAGCTGCAATCAATAACCAACCCGGTCATCGAAAAGTTCTACTTGAAGGTGCACCTAAACAATCAAATACTGCTACTGTTCAAAAATCTAAGGGTTCATCGTCTGCTACAGTATCTCCAGCCGCTACTAATACACAAAAAGATTCGTCAACAAAGGAAAAACCAACTGAAAATCAACCAACTGAAAAACAACCAACTGAAAATCAACCAGCTGAAAAACAACCAACTGAAAAACAACCAGCTTCAAATGATACATCTTCACCTGAAGTGGATCAAATTCATCTTAATATTGAAAATATTCAATGTCTTGATGAACTATTAGATCGTATTGATGATGCTGTTCAAAATGTTCCAGTTATGATTGATGTAGAATCTAAAATAGATAAAATTCCAAGTTTGTGCCTATAGGAATGTAATATTTATTATTAACTTGTTTGTTTTTTGTTATTTTATATAGCTCCATCAGAATCAAATGAAAATGTTCAAATTGATGTAAAAACTGACAAACCAGAAAAAATTGATAAGAAAGAAGTAGTAGCTGCTATGAAATTTCAAAAACAAGAACCTAAAATTGAACAGAATAATAATGAAACAAGCGCTACTTTCTAAATACCATCAATGTTTTCATTTTGTTCTATATTAATAAAAATAAATTTCGTGGAATTTAATTCTTTTTTTTTTGAAAAACAAGCTGATACTTCATTTGCATGTGCTTTTAATAAATCCAAGCTTAATTAGATTTATTTCTACTATAGATGCTTGATATGAAAAGCATTGTGAACATGATATGATTGATAAATTATTATCTATATGAAAATACTTATTGATAATCGGAGTACTATTTTTGCAAATGTTAATAAGAAACAGTATATAAATTAATAAATATTTCTTATGCTACATACTAATAAAGTTTTTCCTTTAAAAAAAAATTAGAAATCACCTATTCCAAACTTATGTTTTTCATCTTTTATGACGAACATGGAAACACTTAGCTTCTATCAAAATTAGAATGAAATACTATTTTACTAAGTGTAATAGCGACATCTATTATGTGTCTTATACTTTCGATAGCGACCATCTCTCCACTTACAAACATACAGGACAAACTTATAGGTTAGTCATCATCAATCAATGCAAGAAATGAAATTTTGTTCTTTTTTTGAACTTGAGTTAAATAATTGTTTATTATATTATAATCTTTTAGTTTATTATTGTCCGTTTAATGTCTGATTTTTTTTATGGATATAAGAAAAAATGTTTTCAAAAAATTTCTATGATATCTAATTATTATTTCCATGAATTCAAATTCCATTTAAAACTACAGACATCATAACCTATTAATCTTATTTTATTTTGAAATATGTCTAAATTTTTCAATAGGAGAATTTAATTTTTTAATTAATTGAAGCATATACAATCGATCAATTTGCTGTTTAATTGAGTGATCTAACACCAACAACAATATATTGCTAATGCTTTATTGCAACTCATCATCATAGAAGATTGACATGTAAATTAAGAAATATTCTGATTTTTTTTTTTTTGTTTTCATTATATACTTGATTTTTTTTCTGTATAGCAATGGAGTCAAAGAATTTCACCAACTACCACGGTATGAAAATAAATTCAACTATTAATAACGATTGTCTCGCGTTAGGTATTAAAATGAATTTTTAACTCAATCAATTTGTCTTGAAAGAATTGCTTTCACCTAATTTGTTTTTATTGATTCGTATGTTGGATCTCGATCGTCGAAAAAAAACAACTGTTTTACTTTTGATAATTTTTTAGAAGGGTCCATGCGGCATTCAGTTTTCTGTGATTATTTTATACAGGCATAAATATGTTCGTTTTTGAAACAAAAGATTAAACTTATCTCCTGCATTATTAAGTCAATTAGAATACAATTTTTATGAATCATTTTGGGAATCTTATAAAGAACCTTATTATAAAGACTCTCATGTATTTGAATTTGGTATCTTTAACAAATTTTAATTAATTTTGCGAAATACAAGGAATGTTGAAGTTTAAGGTTAAAAATATCGACCGCCTTCCCCCGCCCCCCCCCCCTCCACAGGCATAACAGGCATCCTTAGCAACGTCTCTCTTTCATTGCACACCATAACAGGCATACCCATAGAAACATTGAAGACTATGAAAGATACCTTAGCAACACCCCCTCCTTTGCATCAGAAGCTGTGACAGACATTGTTGATGTACGATCACAAATCGTATATCAATAATGTCTTGTTATAATATCTTAACTACTTGCTTATTGCATTTCTGGAAGATTAAATAAATTGATGGTGAAGAAATGTATTTCAAAATAAAAACTATCTTTCTGCGATGAGCAACAGCAGGTGCATTGTATTTCATATTTTAGTCTTACATTGATTGCGCTAACAGCATTTTATGAAATTGCTTTATCCAATGAATAAATAAATTTTTAATATTTAAGAAAAGTTCGTCTTAGTTTTTGCTAAATCGTCAATTTCAAAGAAGTGTTGAACTCTCGAAAAATTGCATCAATAATGAGTTTTTGAGATTTAATTTATTCTTTTGTTTTTTAGTTTTGCTCATTATGATATAAATTATATTGACTTTTCATCAAACCAACGTTATTTAGTCATATTTTTATCATGTCCAAATCATCTCGAAGCATTTATTATATGGGATGAAATAACTGGACAAAAAATCACGATCATTTCCACTTTAACAATATTATTTTCAGAGTTCATCTTATTTCAAGCGAGTATTCTGTGATAGATGTCGACTGACTACTTTTCTTCAGATGGTCGTTTCAAGATCAATAGTTTGCTAAATAAAGTCCTGATGGTTTATGATATCGAGGTAAATATATTTAAATATTTTTATGGAACTTACATTATGTTTTTTCGAAGAAAAATATAGCGAACGTAAGTGTTAAGTAGAGATTTTGTGGTTTCCTCTCATATAGCAACCGAAAGTTAAAGATCAGAGCCCAATGAGTATGTTTTCTCTAGCAACCAAGGACAAATAGACATTAGATACTTTCTCGGAGTTCCTTATCAACGAAAAAAAAAACATTGAATGATATTAACAAAAAGACTTAGACTGTTCTAGAATATTTCAAAGCCTTTCTCAAAATGTCAATGGTCGGAATATGTCTGTGAAAGTTCTATTGTGGAGATAAAAATTTATATCCAAGATGTCAAGGATGATGGGTAGTTACGCATTGATTTGTCACAGTTCTCATATGATCAACACAAAAAAAGTGTCACCTAATCAAGTTAGAACTTTGTGAAATGATCAATAATATCAGTGTTTCTGAATTTAGCGAGATATATAATAGTGTGTTGAGACGTGCGGTAGACATAATGGATATGTACAATAGGCTTATTTAGCATGCAGCAAGATAAATAGAAAAAGAAATAGAGTACCAGTAAAACTTAGTAAAGAATCCTGTTCAAAATGCAAAAATAAATAAGACAGATCGTCTCTCTGACGATTGATTATTCTTGAAAAAAAAAGCACAGTCTGCCAAAGAAGTTTCTCTTTACATAAGGCTAACGAACACATGTGAGGTTCACATTTTAGCCTCAAAGGGGCTACGGTGACAACCTTTTTCTAAGATACTAGTGAATGATAGGATGTTCTCAGAAGAATAAATGTCTTATTCCTCATTTTAATAGTGAAATAATCGCATAAATTAGATACTTTTAATTATATAATCCATAGACTCATTGTTATTCTCTTTGGAGATTGAATTAAATCAAATGTTCGAAATGTAAATCAAAAATGCTTATTTATTAGTACGATCAGATCAACATATATTTTTTCTTTATAATGTTCACATATCGTACATAGACTATCATAAAACTATTACAAAAACTGGTACTACTTTAATTGATAATTGTTTATTTGTTGGATACCAAAATTATTCAGAAATGTTTATAGTAACATAGAACTTACTGTTACTTCGACAATACGGCGAATAACTTTTAAGTTTACGAGCGAACTTTCCCAATTGTCAATTTGATTTTGAGGAGAAAATCAATGAACTGTAAGTTATCATCATGCTCAGCTGCTGGTAGACCTTTCTAGATCGCTTAATCAATATAATCGATAGCTTATAACGCAATGATTTTCTGTTCAAAAGCAACTTGAAAAACGGAGATATGCTCTTGTTAGAAAAGAAAATATAGAATTTAAATAAATAGAAAGAATATTATGTAAATTAGTGTTTTCATTTAGTAATATTTTACCCGAATTATGTTCAAAATCAAAAACAAAAATTTCGTATTGGTCGTATATTTGCACGTACAGCTCAAGGTCAAAATAAAGGTACAATTATTCTTATTCATAGCATATTTCAAATATCAATTTATCTATTTTAGAAGAATCTTATATTGTTTTGTTATGAAGTCATCTAATAGTAACACATAACTCATCTAAAATAATCATTGGTAAACTCAATGACATTGTAGTACTTACACGAAAATCTCAAAGACACTCAAAGTGAATTTTTTGGCTCGTATTATTGAACGTGGTGTCATATAGAATAATGAGTATAAAATGAAAATTTTCAATTCCTAATGATCTCGATTGATGTTTAATTCGAAAAGAAGATGAAGAATATGTTCACCAAAAACAATGGATAAAATTCGAAATTTATCGATGATTAATTTCATTATAAGAATATATTTCTGATATAATCAAGTTTTAGATTAAAACTAATGGATAATATATAAAGATTAAACTTCTAAAAAGAAAGATGATTACTAGATTTGTATTTTATTTCTAGATAAACCAATATGTCGAAACGTTTTTTCGAAGGTGCTCAACATGCAGCTCGTTATGCATTGACTCGACCGACATATCCACCAGCATTAATGGAAAAAATCATCAGTTTTCTTGCCATGAAGGTGTAATTTTTTCAAATTCAATTCTAATATTATAAAATAGTTATTCTTTTCTTTTTTTTTGTGTTTATCTTTCTTTTCAGTATAAAGATATATATGATTATGCAGCTGACATTGGTTGTGGTAGTGGACAAAGTACTGAACTTTTATCACCTTATTTTCAAAAAGTTTATGGTAATTTATTTTCTTGATAGTTTTATTATGAAAAGAAAAGAATATCATTTTAGGTTATGATGTAAGTGAAAATCAAATAAAAGAAGCAAAAACAAAAAATAAGATATCCAATATTGAATACAAGTAAAATTAATATATTTTGATTTCTGCTTTTTTTTTCTTGTTATCATTTATATTTCATTAAGAGTCAATACAAATAATGCCATACCACATGCAAACAAATCACTTTGTTTAATTACTGCTGCACAGGTTAGTTATTTTCTTTTTTTATAATCTATTTCTTTGATAATGCGTATAGGCAGCACATTGGTTTGATTTAAAACAATTTTATTCTGAAGCTAATCGAACTCTTAAACAAATGGGTGTATTAGCTATCTATGGTTATGAATTACCTAAAATTGATGGTGAACATTCTTCACAACTCAATGAAATTTTTCAAAATGTATATTTAAAGAATTTATTCACAAAAAAAAAAGACAAAATGTATTTGTTTAGTTTTACAAGAAATTATTACCCTATTTTCCACCAGATCGA